CTGGAAGCTAAGCAGGGTCAGAGTGGTTTTGCGCATGGATGGGTTCCCTGTCTGCTCAGGGGGAGTATTTACACCAGGGGTGGGAGTATTTTGCCTCGGGGGCTCTATTTGCCCTGGGGGGGGGGAGTTATTTGCCCCAGGGGTGGGAGTTATTTGCCCCGGGGGGGGGGCAATTACCCCAGTTAGCCTTCTGGAAGCTAAGCAGGGTCAGGGAGGTTTTGCGCTTGGATGGGTTCCCTGTCTGCTCAGGGGGAGTTATTTGCCCCAGGGGTGGGAGTTATTTGCCCCGGGGGGGGGGCAATTACCCCAGTTAGCCTTCTGGAAGCTAAGCAGGGTCAGGGAGGTTTTGCGCTTGGATGGGTTCCCTAAGCCTGATGAGGAGTATTATTTGCCCCAGGGGTGGGAGTTTTTTGCCCCAGGGGTGGGTGTTTTTTGCCCCAGAGGTGAGGGGAAGGTATTTGCCCCAGGAGAGGGTGTGGGGGGGGTTATTTGCCCTGGGGTGGGTAATTATCCTAGTTACCCTTCTGGAAGCTAAGCAGGGTCGGAGGGGTTTTGTGCTTGGATGGGTTCCCTAAGCCTCATCAGGGGGAGTTACTTGCCCCAGGGAGGGGCTATTTGCCCCCATGGGGGGATTTGCCCTAGGCAGGTCAGTTCTTACCCCACTTTGTTGCCCCCTCTAGGTGCGGCGGCTGCCCCCCACGGAGGAGCCGAGCGTGGCGAAGCGGCTCCTGGTGCTGCTCTTGGCCGTGGTGAGTGCCCAGGTGTACAGCGCCACCGAGGACGTGACCCCCGAGGTGGCTGCGACGGCCGTGGTGACACCCGAAACACCCACGGGGACACCCGAAACATTCACGCTGACACCCGAAACACCCACATCACCTACTGTGACATCCCTGCCCGGGGACGGAGCCCTGCTCAGGACTGCTGTGACGCTTACGGGGACAACCTGGACACCCAACGGGACACTGGTGGGGACACCCATGGGTGCCTCCTGCCCCCGGCTGCTGCTGTCACCTGCCCTGTGGCCCCACAACTACACAACCGGAGGCGCTACCCACTGAGGGGCACCCGGGACGCTCGCCCTGCTCTCAGGGTGGCACCCCAAGACTGTCACCTCGGCCTCAGGGTGGCATTTGTCACCCCCTTGTACCCACCGCCGGGGCCTCTGGTAGCTGGTGGCCGCAGGGTGGCACCACGCACCCATGGGTGCCCCTCACCTCGGCTTTGGGGTGGCACCCGCCGCTCCGGTGACGCTATGGGGTGGGGGGTTCCATCAACC